TATAAGAGAAGAGTGTAATGATTATGGGTTGGATGTGATGTTTTGTTTGTTATGGCTAAAATAGCCTATTTTATTTTTTGTGGCTAAAATAGCCAAAAAAGCCTCCAACCTCACTTGCCAAACAGAGGCTAAATAATGTACTTGATACTCTGGAGAGTCAAACTACACTACAGCTTCCGATCAAAAAATAAAAAAAAAATTACACTACAGCTACCTTTCAACTTTAACCTCGGGGTCAACGCCCGACAATTCGACAAATGTTAAACCCGAGTCGGTAATTAACTAATTTCACTTTTGTCATGTAGATAGAGCACAACAATTCCAATTACTTTTAGGGTGGCGCTAATAGTCACTTTTTTTTTTTTTTTTTTTACTCTCATTTTTTTGAATCATTCCTTATAAAATTTGAATATTGATAAAAATTTTAAAGACTCCTCATATAATATTAAAATTATTTTTTATCTAAAATATTACATATCTACCTAAGCTGCACACCCTATGACAATTTAGACACTAAAGTATTGTTAAAGATCAAAAAGTGGGAAATCATGTAATGCTAAGATTAAATAAAATGGATGGTGAAGATAGATTAATAAGAATGATTTTATCAGGAAGAATGGATTATGGAGGATATAGGTAGCTCAAGAGCATAATGAGAATGAATGAGAATGATATACCACGAGGGTTGGGTGTTCATGAATTTGACTTTATAGGGATGGGTGTTCAATTCTAAGTATTGTTTTTGTGAGGGGTGGTGCTCCATTTTAATTTGTGTCTATTATAGTAATTTTAATTAGTGTTATAATTGTCGTTAAAAAAAAAAAAAAATCAATGGACAGAGATCCTTAGAAAAAAGGTGGGGGCTATTAGTGCCACCCAATTTTTTATTGAATGGTGCGACATCCTTAAATTTTGTTTCTTCAATTCTACTTCCAATGACGTGGCTCACCTTCATATGAAGCAGTCTCACACCTCTCTCTCTCTCTCTATTTGTTTCTTCAATTCTACTTCCAATGACGTGGCTCACCTTCATATGAAGCAGTCTCACACCTCTCTCGCTCTCTCTTATTCTCTTTAGGGGATATTTAGAATGATCTAAATAAGTGTACTTTTAATTTTTTACGAAAAAAAATATGAAATATGAGTTGGATTTAAAGTAATATAATAGAGGGTTGATGTAATCCAAATAGGACACCAAATACCCTCTTAGTCTCCCTAATTTCACATAATTAAGAAGGAAATTGGGAGAGCAAACTTAGGGGATGAATCATTATTTTTTTTATTTTTTTTATTTTACTTTATAAGGGAAATTGAAATAGAAATTCAAAGTGTATGAGTAGAAAGAACAAAGCTATTCAAAAACTTGATTTGTGTTTGATTTTTTTTTTAAATTTAAGGAAAATTACAAAATAAAAAATCTGTGACCTTTGTGACAAAATAAATCTTGAATTTTTAATCTTAAAATTTTAATTTATTTTTAATCTAAAACATTTGGCTATTTCCATTAAGTAAAATCAATAGAAAAATAATATTTTAGTCGTTAGACACAATGAAATGAAAATGGTATTTCAAATATTTCATGTATATTTAATAATTAAAATACTCTTTTTATGACGATTTTATTAACAAAAATAGATGAATAATTTAAACCATGAGGTTTTTATTTAAGACCGACTCATATATAAATATATTAAATTTAAACATATTTTAAAATTTGTTAAATTTCTAAGTTAACCTTAAACAATTTATTTATTTGGCTTGACTATATTATATACATTATTAAAAATTAAACTATTCATGATCTTGCACGATTAAAATTATTTTGAAATTGACTTGAAAGTTAAAACTAAATTTAAATATTCATTATATGACTCGACTTGTTTATCATTCCAGTCACCATAGTAGAGCTCATAGGCCAATCCGCGCATGTGTTTTTGGTGCCTTCACTCATCTACTCATGTTTATCTCACTACTAAATAATGTACTTGGTACTCTTTTTGAAAGAAAATGAAAATTCATTTATAAATAGAATTTTTGTACTTGTTTAGAATGACGTGATATTTTTATAATTGATAACACAGCTTGTCCCAGTAAATGGATCGGACTGGTCCAAGCTTCTCAAGCTCATGTCCAAATGATCAAGCTCACCGGATAACTTGCAAACAAGTTCAACGGGGAACGGGGTAGTCCCCCAGTGAACCCTCCAACGAGCAAGTTTGGAAAAGAAACAGAGTATAGAGGGAGAGATTAGAGATAGAAAAGCTTAACCTTCTTCTTGTCTTCAACGTTTGCTTATATCCTTTGGTAATCATTTCGCTGTCCCTTCCAACCTGCCCTCCTCGCCGAAAGTCTATACTGTAACTTACCTTGTTCAGGGTAAGGGGGTCCTGTTCCGACGGAGAGGTGTTGTCGTAATAAATGTCATGATGGGCTGCATTAATGGTGATGTGCAGTGACAATAACTTTGCAGATCTTTGTCTGCTGATGTGGCCCGTCCTTCACCTGCCGTGTGTCTGAATGTCATTGGCTCTTTATGCCATGTTAGACTCCAACTGTCCTGGACCTCACCAGCTGGGTTATGCATTGAACTCCAAGTGATGGGCTTGGATTGTTCATAGTGATTCGTGGCCTTTATGGGCTTATACACGTCAGTAGTCCCCCATTCCCGAGTGCAGCTTTAGTCCAACAAAGGGAATATTAATGAAGTAGATGGGGGTGTTAGGGATTGGCAGGATGGAGGTCGACCGGCAAGGGTGACCGAGGGGGTGAACCGACCGGGAGGTGGTCCGACCGTGCAGGACGACCGAGTGGAAGGGCCAATCACGGGGAGGACCGACCGCAAAGGTTGGCCGAGTGGGAGGGTCGACCACGAGGAGGGCTGACCGCGAAGGGTGAGGTGGAGGGGCGTGGGACTCGAGGGGCGTCGTGTCACGTGGTGATTTGAAGTGGAAAAGACAGGGTAAGGGGAGGAGACAGTAAATCGTGCTCGTACACGTGGCAACATCCCGCGGGAGGGGAGATTAGGCGCCAGATCAGAGATGAAACGATAGGTCATTATGGGTGTTGAAAAGACAGTTTTGGCGAATGATTTGAAAAGTTTTCAAACTGGCGAAAATTAATTGGGATCCTTGGAATACGGGCAAACCGTGGGCTTTTGGCATCATTCGATTCACCTACTTGTTTACAAAAAATCAAAACATTCCAAGTGTTAATTCCTTTGTTGCTCACGATACGCCTCTGCAACACTTTTTCAATTTCCTTGCACCTGCATCCGAAACGATTTGCAGACATACCATAGAGATGGCCCAAGAAGAAACTGCAAATGTCAGGGTGGATCCACTTGGTGATGATGATGTAGTGGAGTTGGCGCAGTAGTACCGGATGGAGAGGGTGGGGGAGTTGATGGGACGATCCCAAGGTTCCACCATGATAACAGCTCCAAGGCCAATCAGCCAGGCAGAACCAGATCACTGGCACACAAAGGCAGACAGATCCACTCTTACACCGGCGAAGTTAGAGGGAATAAGGGAGAAGTACCAGATTCCTTTGGAAATAGGGTTGAGGCTGCCGACATCTACCGAGAGGGCGTCGGATGCACGGATAGGGGAATTTAGCTTGTACGAGGAGGCATTGCGGGGAGGTGTGAGGCTACCGCTGCCTCAAGTTGTAGTTGATGTGTTGAATAAACTAGATGCGGCGCCAGGTCAGTTGATGCCAAATGCCTGGAAAATATTGATGGCGTGCGCGAGTTCCTGGCCGCAAGCAACGGGAGGGTTGGCCTTGACGGTAGATGAGTTCTTCTCATGCTACAAGGCCTCCGGCCAGCAGGACACTTGGGTTACACTACAGGTGGTGGTTGGACGAGGTCTAGTGACGGGTCTGCCATCTTCGGTAAAAGGCTGGAGGCCAAGGTGGTTCTTTGTGACGGCAAACGGCGGGGCGAGAGTTCGCACAACTTTGAAGGTGCCCACCAAATTGATTGAGCCCAAGCTGGACAAGGCGACTGAGGACCGAGTGAAGAGGGTGAGGGATTGGAGGGAGGAGAAGGGAGTAAGGTGGAACGAGCTTGTCCTACCGTCGGTTCTGTTTGCGTTAAACTTGGGACCGCAGCCGTTGTGCGGGGGTCCAGAAATGGAGGAGTTGGAGGTGCAGAGGAAAGCAGAGGAGGAGGAGGAAAGGAGGTTGTTCGCGCAGGCGGACAAGTACAAGGAGTCCCAACTGGGTCCTGCCCCGAAGCCAGTCGCGAGAGAGCGGATCCGACCGCACCCCAAGCCGTTGGGGCAGAAAGACTTAGGCAGTTTTGTGCCCCGACCGCCCCCAGTGAATCCTGTGAAGGGACGAGTGAACAAGGAGAGGGATGCTCTGAAGAAGAAGAAGAAGAGGAGGGTGGAGGGGAGTCAAGAAGAGCCTGCCTCGAAGAGAATGAAGGAAGTGGTGGGTGAAGAGACCAGCATGGCGAAGGAGGCAGAGGGGGGGAAGTGGAGGAGACCCCAAGAAGAGTAATTGCCCCAGAAGTGGTGGACATTGCCTCAGAGGGCATGGAAGTAGTTCCAGTAGTGGCGGCGATCGCCGCGGGGGTCGCGAGGGTTGCTCCTAAAGTGCAAGTAGAAGGTGGGGCGACTGGCCCTGAGCCAAGGGGGGAAGAACAGCCCCAGGGGGCACCTGCACCCCATGGAGGGGGGGTCAATCTGACTACTGCGATCTACCATGCTCGTGCGGTGGCTGGGCGGCTGAAGAGAGAAGAAGGCCCAGCCAGGGCAGGGGCAGACCGCCTTGTGGGGATTGTAGAAGAGGCAGCCTTGCGCTCAGTAGCCAGATTCAATGAGGCTGAACTGCTGAGGGGGTTACGCTCCACTTAAATGGAGGTAACCACCTTAGCAGGGGCTTTGCTGAGGAAGGTTGGGGCTGCAAAGCTCAAGGCAGATGAGGCCAAGACTCAGCTTGCCAAGTTGAGGGAGAAGAGTGCAAGTTGGGTAAGTGCCTATGCTGATCTGCAAGCGGTCAAGGTGGAGCTGGAGAACACACGCAGCCAGGTTGTGTCGCTCGAGTTCCAACTAGCTGGCGAGCAGAAGAGGTTGGATGAGACCCGAAAAGCCTGTGCGGTCGCGGTCGAACGACATGAAGAGGCAATGATCAATAATGAAGAGCTGGTCAGGCAAAAGGATGAGGCAGTCGTGAAGATTAGCGATCTGCAGAAGGAGTTGGAGGGCGAGCGTACGAAGACACTGGAAGAGAGAGAGAGCCTTCAGAAGGAGTTGGAGGCAGAGAGAGCGAAGGCAACTGCGGAGAGGGAGACCTTGAAGAAGGAGTTAGAGGCAAAGAAGGCCAAGGCAGCCTCTGAAACGGCGACCCTGCGGAAGGAGCTGGAGGAAGAAAGGGCGAAGGCAGCCTCTGAAAGGGCGGCTTACCCCAATCTGTATGTGGCAGCAGTGGATCAATTCAAGGGGTCTACTGAGTTTCAGATGGCAGTGGATGCTGCAGTCGCCAGCAGCTTGGCGAGGGAGGAGTCTGGGGGGGGTGGGCCCATCAAGGACGACCGCTGGGGGCAGAACTGAAGCGGAAGTGATTGAGAGCTTCCAGAAGTCAGACTTCTATAAACACGAAATGGCTGAGTTCTGGGACAGTGGCTGGAAAATGTTCAAACGTAGGGCTGAAGAACTGTTCCCAGACTTAGACTTCAGTAGTGTAACAATTGGTGAAGATGATGTGGCCCAAACCCCCCTGGATGAGGGTATTGAAGAAGAAGACCTTGTCTCCAGTGAGGAGGAATGAGTGAAGTGAAGAAAGTTTGTGCCTAAGAGAGTTTTTTTTTTTTTTGAATGGCTGTAATGAACTCATGTACAAATTTCTGAATAAATAAAATTGCAATTATGTTTTCGTTTGATTGTTTGTTCTTGTACAGCAGAAATGAATGAGGCGTGGGCGAAGCAGGTGTAGAACTCATTGTGAAGTGCAAAGTGAAGTGAAACTTGTAATAAGAACTAAGTGTAAGAACTCCTCAGTGTAAAGTGAAGTTGAAGTTGTAATAAAAACTCAATGCAGAGTGAAGTTAAGAACTCCTCAATGCAGAGTAAGATTGAACTTGTAATAAAGACTCAATACATAGTAAAGTTAAGAACTCCTCAATGCAGAGTGAAATTGAACTTGTAATAAAAACTCAATGCAGAGTAAAGTTAAGAACTCCTCAATGCAGAGTGAAATTTAAAATGTAATAAAATTATAAGTTTGTGTTTGCCACACTGTTGAAGTAGATTAGTGGTTTATTGGAGTGAGGCTTGTCTTGTAAGGAAACAGGCTGACCTGTAATAGTTTGATTGAAAAGAAGATAACCTGACTTATAAAAAAAACGTGTAAGGAGGTCTTTGGAATTTGACTAAGCAAAGAGTGGTGTAAAGACTTGGACCTGGAATTGTGACCAGGTGTGTCTACTAATTCCACAAGCATGAAGTTTGCATAGATGGCTTTGACCGAGCCCTGAACGCGTGCTCAGTTGGGGCTAAGCTATGATTCACTGAAGTCGTAAGGAACTCAGTCTGAACCTGAAATTGTGGCGTTTGGTCCGACTGAGACTTGTTATGCTTAGGCTGGCTGAGGCTTGGTCTGGACGAGTGCTTCATGCTCAGTCTGGCTGGGGCTTCATGATGCTCAGTCTGACTGAGGCTTTATGATGCTCAGTCTGGCTGAGGCTTTTTTATGCTCAGTCTAGCTGAGGCTTTTTTATGCTCAGTTTGGCTGAAGCTTTATGGTGCTTAGTCTGGCTGAGGCGTTATGATGCTCAGTCTGGTTGAGGCTTTTTAGTGCTCAGTCTGGCTGAGGCTGTATGATGCTCAGTCTGGCTGAGGCTTGTTGATGCTCAGTCTGGCTGAGGCATTTTAGTGCTCAGTCTGGCCGAGGCTTGATGATGCTCAGTCTGGCTGAGGCTTATTGACGCTTAGTCTGGCTGAGGCTTTTTGATGCTCAGTCTGGCTGAGGCTTTATGATGCTTAGTCTAGCTGAGGCTTGTTGATGCTCAGTTTGGCTGAGGCTTGTTGATGCTCAGTCTGGCTGAGGCTTTTCATGAGTGCTACAATCAGAACGTCATTGAGACACCATCCAGAAAACTGAGATATATAATTGATGGCAGGGGAAGTGTAACCCAGTTAATTAAAAAGTTACATTGCGTAAGGAGATATCAAGAATGCGTAAATTTGCCGGAAAGAAAACACAATAACTAAGCGACACAAAAGTAGGAGCTTATTGAAAGTAATGTTTTAGGTGTTCGGCGTTCCATGGGTGGGGGAGGTCTCGACCTTCCATGTCCTGAAGTCGGTAGGTGCCCGGATGTGGTCTGGCTTTCACAACGTAAGGTCCCTCCCATTTGGTTGCCAGTTTACCCTCAGTCGGATTTTTGGTGGCAAGAGTTGCTTCTCTCAAGCCAAGGTCCCTTATAGCGAACTCTCTTGGTCGGACTTTCCAGTTGTAGTGTGTTCTCATTTTCTGTTGGTACGAGGCCAGTCTGACAGCGGTGGTCTCTTTGAGTTCTTTGATTAGGTCCAGGTCTGCTTGACGGAGCTCTTCGGTTTGTGCTGGATCCGGATGTAAAACCCTGGGAGTAGGCAGACCGACTTCTACTAGAATAACCGCCTCAACGCCGTATGTTAAGCGGAAAGGAGTTTCCCCAGTGGGAGTCCGAGCTGCAGTTCGGTAAGCCCAGAGTACATTCGGTAGTTCCTCAGCCCAAAGTCCCTTAGCAGTTTCGAGCTTAGTTTTGATGATCTTCAGGAGAGAACGGTTGGTGACCTCCACTTGGCCATTGGCCTGGGGATGACCGGGGAAGAGAAACATGGTTGAATCTGGAGGTCGGCACAGAACTTCCTGTACTTGGCGTTGTCAAATTGTTTGCCGTTGTCGGAGACGATGGCCTGAGGGATGCCAAATCTGCAAACAATCGATTTCCAGATGAACTTGGTTGTGTTCCGTTCGGTAATGGTGGCAAGGGGTTCTGCCTCTACCCACTTGGTGAAGTAATCAATGGCGACGATCGCGAACTTGGTCTGACCTCGGCTGGTGGGAAGTGCACCGACCAAGTCGATCCCCCATATGGCAAACGGATAAGGGCTACAAAGTGTGATCAACTCTGTAGAAGGAGCATGAGGGATGTTGGCAAAACGTTGACACTTATCACATTTGAGCACGAAATCAGTCGCATCTTGATTGAGAGTTGGCCAGAAATAACCAGTACAGAGTATTTTGTGGGCCAGAGACCTACCGCCTGAATGATTGCCACAAATTCCCTCATGGATTTCCCGCATTACATAGGTTGCTTGAGCTGAATTGAGGCATCGCAGGTATGGGTGTGAAAAACCACGTTTGTATAAAACGCCACTAACCAGGATGTAATTGGACGACCGGGCCCTGACTTTGGCGGCCTGCTGTTGGTCATCTGGGAGTTCCCCCGTTGTCAAAAATAGGAAGATGTCGGAAGCCCAAGGGATGGGTTCGTTTTGGAGGAACTGCACTTCTTGTGAGTCGGGTGAGATGGCCTGGTGCGCTAGGTATTTGAGGTAGACACCGTAGCTGAGGTCGGACTGGTCTGTAGAGGCCAACTAACCATCTCGTCTGCCTTGGAGTTTTCCGCCCGAGGTATGTGCTTGATGTGGAAGGTATTGAAGAGGCGAACAAGGGGGAGGACCATATCCCTGTAAGCCCGCATTGTGTCCTCCTTGGCATCGAATTCCCCCGTAATATAGCCGACGATGAGCTGGGAGTCGCTGAACACTCGGATGTGGCTGACTCCAATGTCCTTGGCGAGGCGGAGTCCTGCTATCATTGCCTCATATTCGGCCTCATTGTTACTGGCATTAAATAAGAAACGAAGAGCACATTTGAAATAGCCGCCCTCAGGAGCGGTGAGAATGAGGCCAGCCCCACTATCTTCCCTGCGGGATGATCCGTCCACGTTGAGAGTCCATGAATGCGGGTCTTCTGGCTCGGTAGGGGCGGTTGGGATAGGATTAGTGAATTCCAAGATGAAATTCGCGACAGCCTGTCCCTTAATTGCTGTTCGAGGCTGGTAGGAGATGTTAAACTGACTGAGTTCCACTGACCACTGTATGAGTCTGCTTGAAAGTTCTGGTTGTTGCATGACCTTCTTCAATGGTTGGTCGGTGAGAACCACTATGGAATGGGCCTGGAAGTAAGGACGGAGCCGTCTGCAGGCGGTGACCAAGGCCAAGGACAATTTTTCTAACGGCGGGTAGTTCTGCTCTGCTCCCCTGAGAGCCCAACTGATGTAGTAGACTGGCCGTTGGACAGAGTCGTCTTCCCTGATAAGAGCTGCACTAACTGCGGTGCTTGAGATAGCTAAATAGAGGAAGAGGGGCTCGCCCGTAATTGCTTGTGAAAGGAGGGGGCGATTTGCCATGAACTGCTTCAACTGCTGAAAAGCTTCTTCAGATTCAGTTGTCCATTCAAAAGTTTGCCGAAGAACTTTGAAGAATGATAGGCACTTATCTGTTGTGTGGGAAATGAAGCGGTTGAGGGCCGCAAGTGAGCCTTTGAACCTCCTTAACCATTATGGGTGACTGCATCTCAATCAAGGCCTTGATCTTTTCAGGGTTAGTTTCAATGCCCCGCTGACTAACCATAAAACTCAGAAACTTCCCAGATCCTACGCTGAAGGCACACTTCTTTGGGTTGAGCTTCATTTTGTACTTGCGTAGGGTGGCAAATGTCTCTCGCGGGTCGGACAGATGATCAATAGAGAGTTTGCTCTTGACTAGCATGTCGTCGACATAGACTTCTATATTCCGATCTATCTGATGATGGAAAACGGCATTGACCAACCGTTGGTAGGTAGCCCCAACATTCTTCAGTCCGAATGGCATCACGCAGTAGTGGTAGGTACCTCAGTCGATAATGAAGGATGTATGTTCCCGATCGGACGGGTGCATCAGGATTTGGTTATACCCAGAGAAAGCATCCATGAAGCTGAGCATTTGATGACCGGCCGTGACGTCGACTAGCAGATCTATGCGGGGAAGAGGATAGCTGTCTTTGGGACAAGCTCGGTTTAGGTCAGAGTAATCGACACAGAGTCATTTGCCATTGTTCTTGTAGACTAGGACCACGTTTGACAACCATTTAGGGTAATCCACGTTTTTGATGAATTGGGCCTCAAGGAGCTTGTCAACCTCTGCGGGTATAAGTGTATTGCGCTCTGGATAGAAGATGCGCTGCTTCTGGCGGTAAGGTCGGAAATGGGGTTCGATGCTGAAGCGGTGAGTTATGAAAGAAGGGTCGATGCCCGGCATGTCTGAATGGGTCCAGGCAAACACATCATTATGCTCGATCAGAAGGACGGTAAGGTCGGCCTTAGCTTGGGGGGATAGTTGGCTGCCGATCTTGGCAGTCTTCATAAGGTTGGTGGGATCGATGAGAACCTCAACGAGCTCCTCAACCAGTTCTCCTCTAACCAGCTCGTCCTCATCGCGGACGTCAAGTCCTTCAATGATCATGGCCTCATTCAGCTTGACTTCCTTGAGTGAGGCGACATAACATTCCCTGGCTACAGTCT